TTGACAGTTGCTCCTGTAAATAATATATAGAAGGTGAGGGAGACCTTGTGGAGATCTGAAGAAGGATTTTAAATAAAAAGAGACCATTTGCAATCACTGAGACCTGTTGGTTGAAGAAGAGGTTCACATTAGAGGGAGTGTAGGAATATATACATAACACGTGGGTGCCAGCAGCGGTCACTAATTGTCCCATTGTGCCCGGGTGGCATATCATTAAAAAAATTAGACTATTACATTTACGTGTCATGGAATATATCATTTTTATTGCTATAAGCATGCTTATACACACCAAATTAGTCATAGAGAGAAAGTCAGTGATGCTAACTTGACGACTTTCTCACTAGATTTAGCAACTTTTCAGACCCTCTTAGGGACTATATTTAAATTTAATATTACATATTATTTCATAATAATAATATAATATAATAATATTAAAATTTAGCTGCTTATTCAGACCATTAGGGCAAAGGTAAGAAATGTATTCAAATATATTATATTATAATTCATTCTCATGAATGCTGCTCAGAGTGATCACAGTCTTCTGCCAACAGCACCAGGGTCTCTACCTCTCCTCTTGTGCAGGTAGTCAGTAGGTGTGCCCTCTGGTGTATGTTGAATTCAGTTTCACTCTTTCTCTCAGAAAAATAACTTAAATTTGTGACAATGGTAGTTAAGTCTAAGACAGCTGAAAATAGAATTTGGGACGAGAAAAAAATAATAATTTTGAGCCCTAGGTGCAAGGCCATTGGGATTGATGTATTTTTGCTAGAACTTTTATTTTGAAGTTATCAAATTGCTATTTGTTTTGAGATGTGCAGAGCATTGGATGGCTGACCACACCTGTCATCTTAGAGCCTATTGACCTGAAGAAGATCTGACTGGGATCGAAAATCTCGTCCATTTAAATAAATTTGTGGTTTGGAGTCAATGTGCATGCATTACACTTTTTGTCAATAAAAAAAATTGTTTGACATTTTGGGAAATATGTTTCTTGCTGAGAGTTAGATGACAGGATCAATACCACTCTCAGGTTTTGTTGTGAGACATCTGCTTGACCCCTGCTGTCACCTGTCCTGTGGCTTAATTTACAGACAAGATTATCTGTTCTGCTCTACTTCTGGACATTTTTCTCCCTTTGTTTGTCAGGGAATCAGTATTATACAGTGAACCATTTTATGCAGTGTTTGTGAGCCTCTAATTTCCAGTGAAGGTCATGCCTTTTCCTGTACCATTACTGTCCAACTCCCTGCAATCAACAGGAGGCATTGTACAGCAGGGCCAGTACTGTCATAAAAATTATGATCTTTAAATATTGCAATTTGCAAAACAGATGCATGTTTGTATGTGATATTAAAAACGTTTAGTCTTCGAGGGGAACAACACAGTGTATGAACAGGAGGGCCCGTGCTGTGATGATCAAAAACACAACAAGTTAAAAGAATCTGTACATTTTAGCAAGGTATGCGATAATAAATGAAAAACCTGCTTTCCCGGACTCTGAAATCAAGGACAACTCTTTCAAAAATGAGTAAGAATATCAAGTGGTAAATCTGCCACTGTGTGATAACGGAAAGCTTGACAGAAGCGAATGATCAATTAAACCCAAAATGCCATCTGTTTTTTGTGTTAATCAGTTTTACCTTGCCTATTTGTTATCAGATTAGATTGAATCAACATGCAGTCACACAAGAGAAGTGAAAACTATAGAGAAGCTTGGTATTGTGTGTATGGGTGCCTCTGTCATAAAAAATATGATTTTTAAATATTGCAATTTGCAAAACAGATGCATGTTTTGTCGATATGTTTGTATGAGATATTAAAAGCTTTTAGTATGAGAGGGGAGCAAAACAGTGCGTGAACAAGAAGCCCCATGCTGTGATTATAGATTAGGTCTCAAAAACACTCCGGCATCATAAATTAGTCTCTCACTCTCCTACCCTTAAACCCCCCTACCCCCCGACCGACACACATACATCTCTCTCTCTCTCTCTCTCTCTCTCTCTCTCTCTCTCTCCCCCCCCCCCCTCCCTCCCTAACCCAATTACACCACACCAGTACATACTGACAGGGAAATGCAACCATAACCACATAGGCACTTGTTGTATAAGCCTAAACACAAATCAAGCATACTTAGCTACACATACAATGGGCCAAACTTCTCTTACAGAACCACGCACACACACACACACACACACACACACACACACACACACACACACACACACACACTATACAAAACAGGTCTGCAGCTGGAGATAAATGAGCTGTGGAGGACATTAACGCATGGAGGAGTAATATAAATATTCAGATACAAGCAGCAGACCTCATGCTGTTCAACTTAATGGAGGGCAAATATACATTACGGCTCTATCAGAGATAAAGAGCGAGAGGAATATGCAGAAGATACACTCAAGGAGTAAGACTGCATACCTATATGTTTGCACGTGTACTTGTACTGTGTGTGTGTGTGTGTGTGTGTGTGTGTGTGTGTGTGTGTGTGTGTTGGCTGTATTTGTGAAAAGGCATACAAATGTGTACAAAAAGGTAAAATCCCTTTTTTGTTAATTCTCTGTTGCAAAGTTAAGTGGTATAAAAACACTCTATGTAAAGTGTTCCCTATTATTATGTAGTTACAAATTCTGGTTGTTAGACTAAGCCTGCTTCAAGGGCATGAAATACCCTGCCACAATGGGTGGACTAAGGCAGAGAGAAATAGCGGTTTAAGTCTGAAAAGAGTGCAATCATGCACATGACAACTACACTTGGGGAAAAAGACAACTTAAAATCGTTGGCAATTGTGCCTGCATCATTACGTGACACCACCACAGCAATAGCAATGACAGCAGAAGAATATTGTAGTAGCAGTGCTCCGAGCTATTTTTGCTTTCCAGACATGATTGTATTGTTGTCATTTGACATCGGGCAATAACACTCGGAATCAAAATCATAAATCACTTCTTAGCAAGCATGTGAAAAACATGCAAAAAAGTGTGACTGTCAAAAAATTGTGTGTTTGTGTATATCTGTGAGACAAAGCAGGTTAGTTGCATTCATAGACAAATACAGCCTACAGGCATGGATTGATCCACTAGGGGGCCCTGGGGCAAAAATTAACTCTTGTGGGCCCGCTAACCTCCCTTTTTCTCCTCTTACTCACTGTCAATGTTCCCTTTTGCCGTCAAGTACACATTTTGCCTAGAGCCACAGAAACTAACCTATTGTTTGTTGGAACATCCTGTTTGTCTATTATTAAAGACACTGACGATGTAAGCATACTATCCTTACACAAACCAAGACTTCAGGATAAGGTAATACAGGTTTTTATCATTTCAGTTGACAACTGTTTTAGTGATGCATATATTGAAACTATAATACAATTGATCAAATCACCACAAACCAATGAACCTGTGACTCTTAGGGGCCCCAGGAGTTCTGGGTCAGTTGCCCAGTTTGCATGGTTGCTAATTCATCCTCGCCTCCAGGGGTTAATTTTACACTGTCTGAAACTAAATTATAGACACACACACGCGCACACACACACACTAACACCCAGAGGTCAGATAAACTTATCAGCATTTGCAAAGTGAGTTACAGTCTATTTTCATGTAGCCTATTTTGGTACAAGCTATTAGAACAGAGTAGCAAAGTGCATTCAGTGCTGCCTATCAGTTGTTCACACACACACACACACACACACACACACACACACACACACACACACACACACACACAACCACAGACACACTGTATATATCTTTCACCACAATGACACTAAAAAGGCAAACTCAGACTGCAGCCTTCTGCTCATATTCCAGTTCAACAGAACGTGGTCAAAACAAGTCTACCCTGGGAGTGGGGAGGGTGTGTGTGTGTGTGTGTGGGCAGCCTTGACCCTGCCAGCCTCGTATTGTTTGTTACCAGGTGGGATATTCCCAGGGGTCTTATAGACTGCATTCATCTAAGGTAGTATTAGCAGTAAGCTGATCTGGACGCAACACAGCACGCAGGGAAAATCCCCTTCCAGGTGCATCTGGAGTGTTAATTTCTGAAGATCTAAGGCTACAACAAGTCTTCTTGAATGCTCAATCTGGTATTGCTTTCATTATACAAAACTGCCTGAAGGTCCTTCACATATAGTCCTTAAGAGTTTTTACTTGTAAATAGAAAACGTCAGTTTTGTTGCAGCCTTCATACTCCATAATGAATTTAAAAACCTGGTTTAATAGCGACAGCTGATATTCCATATTACAGCTGCTGTTGACAGCCGGGTTGTGGGCAGTAGAGCTCGGTACTGTATTCTTTTCTCTACTGTAGTTTTCAGCTCACCTCTTGAACTCTCAGTCAGTTCACCAACCTACGACCTGTTCAAACTGCCTCGCGCTAAAGGAGTGGAACCGTTTTATCAGCAACACGGGCATCAACAAGTGTCCATCAGTACTTGTGATAAACCGACACGGAAAGACACAAATAGATAAGTGGATGACCTTTGCTCTGCACCTTTTCCTTTTTATTCACCATATCTCGCTCTTGTATCTCTTCACATTCACTTCACTCTTTCATTTTTTCCATGTTCCAGTCTCTCCACACCATAGCTTTGCTTCTGTCCTCCGTTCTCTCAGTCCCTCTCGTTTGCTCTTCAAAAGCACTCAGAACACACCTCTATTCACCCATGATCCTCAATACCTTTCTATTTCTCTCTCCCGTCTGGCCGAGATACACACACAAGTGCGGTCAGCGAGACACACACACATACTCACACAAACATGCACACAAATGAAAAGGCCCCCTAATAAAACTGCAGATGTAAACTCATTGAACCATAAAGAATACAACTTGGCCCATGCCTCTGGAATAACAACAGACTATACAAGCTAATAAAGTTTTCCTCACAATCCCAGCTCAACACTGCACTGCAGACTCTCTGCTTGTCCCTAAGCCATACATCAACTACCCAGCATGCCAGCCTCATCAGACGACGCGACAGGACAAACTTCACCCACCCTTCGCTCTCCTCCTTCTCTCTCTCCTTCTCCTTGGCTTTACGAGACTTGTGCAGGAGTCCGATGAGGATCACAGCGGCCCGGATGCCAGCCTTTTTGTTGTGGAACCGTCCTCCGGTCTGAGACATGCTGGACGTTTCTGCTGGTGCCAGCAGGGGCTCCGGTGACAGCCGGTCCAAGGTCAGGCCAGCTCCAGGGTCCCTGGGCTGCAGGACCTGCTTGGTCGTGGCTTTGCGGGGTTCCAGTGTGAAGAGTGGTTGTCACAGTATTGGTTCTGTTTGCTGTCAGGTCTAGAGACAGCTGGCAAGTTTCTGCCAAAGAAAGTACCTGTTTGATTTCTGGCTCTGGATTGGCAGTTTAGAGCCTCTCCGTCAGACGTTCTGGTATAAATCTGACTATAATCCAAAAGTTAAAGATTCTGGAGCCACTTTTGGTTTGGCAGGTTGTCAGATCCGATTAAATCTCTGTTGTTCTTGGTGTTGTGATCAATGAGCATTTCTTGTAATCCCAGAGGTGTAGAGTGGCACTGTTAGACTCCAGCTCAAGGTGAACTTCTATCTGCATCCCCTGCTTCTGCAGAGAATCTGTGCATCGGAGCTCCATAACACATCACTGCCCCTGACGAGAGGATGAAGAGTTGCGCTGCTGACAGCCTCGGAGAAACACACACTGTGGTACTGCATCTCTGTCTACCTACCTCTTCCCACCTCTCCCTCCTTCTCTTACATGCTCTGCTTCCTCTCCCTCTGTGCCTGCTGCTCCTCTGATACCTCCTTCCTGACTGCTGAGCCCCGCCCTCCTCCGTCTGATAGGCTGGAGTTTGTGCAGGGACCGCCTCCTTCTCCTCCTCCTCTACTGTATGCCTCCCTCTATCTCTCCCTGCCCTTGTTTCTACCTTGTTAATAATTTTATATTAATCTCCCTGACCTTGTTCTATCTATGCTTGATTTTGATTTCATTTCTAGGCACATGCATGCACACCCACACCAACCCACCCCATCTCTCTCTCTCTCGTTCTGACACACACACACACACACACACACACACACACACACACACACACACACACACACACACACACACACACACACACACACACACACACACACACACACACACCCTGTCCCTCTGTGTGAAATCTCAATTCAAACAGGCTTATCAGCCTATTGCCTGCTGTGCTGTTGCCAAGGACATTGGAATTGAAATGTAACCTCACAAAATGAAAGGAGATTAAATGAAAACATGTGAAAAAAAATCATAATTTTGACACATTCTGCGTGCTGTCTTTTGTGCATGTACACACGGAAATACATAACACATTTTTCCACACTACATTTCTTGTTCTTTGCCTCCTATTATGCTGTGTTGCCAAATCATTTCCACAATTTACCTCCATTTGTATTCCTCCCACTAATAAACTGTCTGCATGCCTCTTGTTTTTCTAATATACTGTCTACTATGCTATTGGTTCTGTCCAGTTCCAACTAGAGCCAGTTTCCTCTTCAGTTACAGTTTGGTAAACAGAGCTAAAGTAGTCATGTTCCCAGAATATATTGATCTAAAGTGTTCTGTTCCCATCTGGAGCCACCTGTTCCTCTTCCCCTCTGTTAGTGAGCAAACCAACTGATTGATTGATTGACTGGCTAATTGAGTGAATAGCTGCATTATTCCTAGGTAGCATTATTTCATTTCTCTTCATAGTATCTTCACCCATTTTCTTCCCTGAACCAAACTACCAAGATGGTTTATCATTTACCCTTGAGATTGCTTAGTCCTTTTGTTTTATTTGCTCATTGTGTAATTAGTCCGGTTGGTTTTCCATTAAAGGAAGAGTTTGACATTCTGGTAACATTTATTGCCCAACGTGCCGAGAGTTAGATGATTTTTAACAGATTAAACAAACAAGATATAACGTGAGCTTAAGTGACTGGTGAATTTATTAACCTTTGGACATAGCCAGGCCTTTCCTTTTCTGCTTTTTTCAGTCTTTATGCTAAGCTAACCATCTTCTGGCTCCAGCTTCATACTTCATACAAGCGTATATCCCAAAATGTCTGTGCTTAACCATTATTTAGTATTATAAACATACATACACTTTTAGATAAATTTAAATATAATATAGTTCTGTTACACAAAATTTGTATATTCACTCATTAAAGATCAGAAACTGTAACACCTTTGCGCACTAGCGGAAGAGTAATTAAGCTATGATTTGTTACCTTTCATCCGGCTCATTAAACAGCTATACAGTCGGGCTCTTCTGCATTGATTTCCTCATTTCTCTAATGAGTGTTGTTCATGAGTGAAAGTTCATGGTGGAAAAAATATTTTGATATTTCCTTGCGCCATGAAACGCTCCCAACATAAAACATAAACTTTCAATTCAAAGGTGAAAATAGCCATGTGAATTATGAGATTCTCATGTGGCAGCAAAGATAAAACTCTGTAGACAGTCAAGGACACAGACATAAAACTGTAGCAAGCAACATAAAAGCCTGATACAGCAGGAAAATATACAGTGAATCACGCTGAACATCTGGTACAGCTCATCTGGATGAGAGTGTACTGACAATAATAAAGGGGTAAATGTTGTCCGATACCTAAAATGGAGTGTCTCAGACTCCTTGTACAGAGGATAATTAGAGAAATGCATCATTCAAGACAAGAGACAAAGACATCTGAGTAGATGAGATGCCTCGGTAATTGTCCAGCAGCAGCCAGGGAATAGATTAAGCCGGGAAAACAGCAGCAGCAAACACAACAATTAAAGGGAAGGTCCCATTTCTCTCCTCATGCATTTCTCTTCCTGTGTGTGATCAGCACCATAGCAACCGGACAGCTGCCAGAGGATCTGCCCGAAGGACCCCCAAGGCTGTGTCCCCTTGACACCAAACCAAGAAAACACTCTTGTAGGTTTTTGGTTACAGCCCTTTGTGGAATTTGCTTCTAAAAACTGCAGTTTGTGTATCTTTGATTGACGCAATCTGCCATCATGGCTCCCACACTCAAAACCACCTGAGGATACTTACAACTTCTACGTGGAGGCAAACAAACAAGTTGGACTATATCAAATGCCCAGAAGAGATCATCTGTAAAAAACATATACATACACACACACTTGCAGAGACTAGACCATTCACTAGGGTCCTTTGTGCGTCATCAAGGGGGAAATGAAACACCTGTATCTATTCACGTTCAGACACACAAACACCACTTACTCTCTTTCAAACCCCCCTCCCCCTTTCTCTCACTCACACACACACACACAGACACACACACAAACACACACACACACACACACACACACACACACACACACACACACACACACACACACACACACACACACACCCACAGGTGTGACATTGTTTCTGTGTGATACACTGAGGTGTGCACCAGTACACCCCTAAGCTTGAATAAACATTCAGAGCAGATATGATGTAGTTTAACATAGTGTACCCATGGGTGGAGGTACATGCCGGCATTAAAAGCAGAAAGTCCTTTATTAGACTTATTTGAGTAAGGCAGGTCCTTATTCCGTGAATCACATTTTGTCATTTTCAATTTCAAATAGTATGCTACATGTTTCTTGCCAGGATTTCGGATATGCTGAAGTCAAGAGTCCACTCCATACAACAACAGACAGATTATTCTTGACAAGAAGACAAAAAGACAGCTTCTATTTTTTCATTATTTGTAATTGTCACATTTTAACTTCCCAGCAAGAAAGTCTACATACTGTTGCAAAGGCTTCTCTACATCGCTCAGAACACAATTCTAGGGCAGAAGTGGTTCATATGTTTTGTTGGCCTAAAAGTAGTCAATTTTAACATACTGAGTCTAAAAACAATGTAGTTTATATATTCTTTTTAAAATGAGTTGTTTGTTTCTGAAAATTAGAATTTTTTTAGCAATTAGTCAGTCAGTCTCAGCCCAACTTAAAACAAAATGGCGTGTTGATTTTAAAATTCAAGTGAAAGCTGATGATGGTTGAAGACACATGTAAATGTCTGCATGCATATAAACTCTCTCTCTGGTTTTCCTCTATTGCACGTACACACACACACACACACACACACTTCTGCGTCTCAGTGGTGCCAAGCAGCCTTTCCTGTCACTTCACAGCTTCTCAAGTGTCTCCCAAACAAACAGATGCCAGTCCACCAACGTCACCTCTCTTTGCAGCTCATTCTATTACAGGACACACACACACGCACACACACACACATACACACACACAAAATGCTTGACCCAACTGCAAGACCGCTGGAGAAAATGACCTTCACAACTGCTGCTGAGTAACTACTCCATCCCCCAACACACACACACACACACACACACACACAAAAAACACACACACAGTCACACAACCTTCCTCTTCCCACTTTCCTCTCCAATTCAATCCCCTTTTTCCCATCCACCATGTACTATACTGGCGTAAAAATAGAAAGACAACTCATCGTGACACTTGTGTGTGAAATCACTTTTCAGCGGTCCAAATGAGTGTCTATGTGTGTGTGTGTGTATGTGTGGGAGTGTGTGCAGATGTGTACCTCCACCTATTCAGCTCCACTATGCACTAACTGTTAGTGGTCCAGGCAGGAACAACTGTCCAGTGTTTTATGAAGAAACAACAAATGGAAATGGCAAACGTGCCATAAATAAGAGATTAACTCTGAAATGTCATGTTGTCATATAAATCAAACGATGAGCCCTGAGCATAAATAAAAGGAAATGTCATCTCTTCCTATCTCTCAATGTGTCATAACCTGATGTACTGAACGTATGTGCTTCGTGAACAAGAATTTCTCACATTGAGCTCACACGTGTTTCAAAAAGAATCACTTTCATGCATTGGTACTTCAGACAGAATGCGGTTCGATGTAGTTGTGTTTCCATGTGACTGTGTGCAGTGTGTACACAGAGCTTTTTCACCTCCTTCGATTTCTTTCTAAACATAATTTACTCTGTGTTTTGTGTCTTTGTGTGCTCTGCTGTGTTTTGTATCCAATATGTGACAGGTTTCTTAAAATGTGGTTAGTCCTCATGTACTGAGGCTCTGTTTGTCACGTCAGTACCAGCTGGTGAAAAGAATTCCTCCCTTGGTGTGTTAGCGCTGGTGTCACTTTAGTGAAATTAAATACTAAAAACTAGTATTTTGTCACTTTAATTAGAGGGTGGAGGTCTGAGATTCGCTCTGTATGTATCGTCTGGTCTATCCTCTCTATAACTGAAGATTCAGTGATATGTTTGTCCTTCAAATACTTTTAACTCTAAATGTCATAAAGAATCTTGGACTAAAGCTGTCTTTACTTTTGCTCTCACATTTTCCACTAATGGCGAGGCTTTTTCAGAGCTGTCTTCCTCCCTCCTGAACAACACCACTTCTCTTCTCATCAGTATCTTGCACCATACGGCCCCTCTCTATTTGTTGCTCTTATGTTCCATTAATCTCAGCTTTTTTCTCCCTCCTAACATTTCCCTCCTTCAATTTACTCCCCCCTCTCTCTGACTCTGCCTTCTTCTTACCAACAGATGTACAGAGTAAACTATAACAGATTAAAAAAATGCAATTACAAAAGTCAGAAACTGTTCAGCAGGGAAAACAGTAACCAGATAAAGAAGAACTTCTGAGGGAATTGTTAGGAGCTTGTATGCAGGAGTCAAAATGTTGACCTACCATGATGTTTCACATCTTGATGATAACAGAACTGATAACACTGTTCAAACACAGAATGGAACAAACTCCTCTTTAATCT